TTTTTTTCATTAAATTCAAGTAAATTTATAATAATGCCTAATTAGATGCTTAAAATATAATTTTTTCATTCATTTTATTATTATTATTATTATTATTAATAATAATAATAATAAATGTAATGCAATAATGCAGTCGGTAATAAATGTTCGTATTTTGTTAGGTGATAGGTGTGACAAAGTTAATTTGTGTATATATGTGTTTATTTGACTAATTAAATGTTTGCAATTTATTTTTGTTGTATCATTTTGATTTGCACTTCAACACTTTGTTTTAATCTTTGAATATTCAGCTTGTTCGCTTTCCACTTTGTGCCTATAGATCTCCAGATGCTCCCACGGGATCTTCTCCAGAGCCTTTACGGAACCGCATCTTGAGCCAACAAGAACACATCAAGTCCAAGGTAAAGAATCATGGGGGCTGTAAGCAGAGACCCCAGTCTCAAATAGCGGTCAAACCGAAATTGAATGTGACACTTGATTTTTAAAACAGACTGCAAGTAATGCACATTCACCAGCTATATCATCTGCTTCCTCTGTTTTGTAATGTGCAAATTTATACAGCTGTTTTTTTTATGCATGGTGCTTGTGCAGCAGGTTTCCTGTTATATAAAAACAACCACTGAGTGTGAAATTTAGTGTCGTACAGTACACTCCAGACTTTAACCAATAACCTCTGGCAGTGATGCACGCTTGCACAATTAAAGCCTATCTTATCCAGAAACATTTTTTAAATGCCCCACTGGGCTGTGAGAAGAAAGATTACATTCGTATGTGCCAAAAAATTTAGTATTATCTCTTGGCCTTATAAGAATTTTTTTTACTGGTCGGTCATAAAATTCATGAAAGATATAAGTCTCTTAATATGAAACGACGGCCTGAATAGCAACTAAATGATGTCTGTCAAGAAGCTTGTTTCTGAAACCAATCTAAACTAGTCTCTGGATTGCTAACACATTTTAAATGTGGTGATAAATGGCAGTTACATTTTTTTTAATTTTTTTTTTAAGTACTGGGCATCTTCACCAATTAGAAATGGTGAGTGCTCTGTGAACATGTATGCTAGGCACATTTTGTTAAAAGGCTTCTTTATTTGATTGCACTAGCAGATGTCTCTTTAGACCTCCACTTTCTGGCCGCCTTCCTGTGTTAGTGAGCGGTAATGGTCCCCGGGCAGCTCACCGCTTCCTGAACTGGACGGGCGGAAGCTTTCTACATCAATTTCACTTTGAACATGCCATATCAGTGGAGTTACTCAGCTAGCAAGGGAAACTTGAAAGGTTATTGTTTCCTGTTGTCTGCAGAATGACTTTATCCAGCCGTACTCCAATAGTTTCATCACAAACTGACGTCGATTGGCACAAGGGGAGAGATCAAGAGGTTCCTCCAGCAGCAAGACTGCAGAGACAGATTATTCTGAGTACAGTTATGTTGTAAGGTTTAATGAACTCATAATGAACCCCAGTCGATACACTGAGGGCCAGTATTATGCATATAAAAGGATGGTAGTACATTTTTACATAATGTTAGTTTATTTCGTGCTAAGAATGTTCATTAAAACACACTCAAAACAGGCCTCTGGTATTAAGATCTGTATCTGGTCACCCAATCTCAAATGGATGGTCGTAAGTACAGGTGTAAATGGGATAATACGATTTTAGTAAGTATTAATAATAGAATATTATTAAATTGTTTATTCTAAAAATTGTGGTGTTTTTGTTGTTATAAAAGTATCAGAAGTAAAGTTGTTTAATATTAATTTAAACCTAATTGTTTAAAAAAATAAAATAAAAAATCCATCCATCCATTCTCCAAACCATTCAGGTCTATGTTGGGTTGCAGAAATCTTGAATCCATCACAGCGTCTTGGGCCAGAAAAGGCAGGGAAACACCCTGGATATGTATGGATAATGACTATTTTTATAATTATTATTCCAACATTGAATAAAACGTTGACATAGACAGTAATATATAATCAGAGACCCTCCCCTGATTGAACTCATTCGATACACATTACTACCAAATGAATACCATGACCACTAATGTGTCTCAGCTCACCACTTATAATTTGATCCGATGTTAATACCACATGTAAATGGGGTCATAATATCACTGCTGCTGGTGCTGTGTCAGCTGGCTCAGTGGGTTTGTCCCAAAACAGGTGTTATTTAACCATGTGTCATGTCATTGTGTGCTTCACAAACACAGACACGCCCCTCATCTTATTGAGGGCTTAATGATGACGTTCATATCAGAGGAAGTAGCTGGTGGATCCAGCCTGTCGCAATTGTTTTTTTTAAGGCTCTCTATTGGTGTACAATCAGGGCTGCCCAACGTACCATGTAAGCCTCCCATATGAAAGCACCCAGTCTGAGCAATACTGTTGTTTTAGGTGCTCTTTTAAGAAAGTGCTTTGAAAAAGCTGCACTCAAACTTTGATCCCCCCTTGAATCCTGATAATCCTTAGCAGGGATGGATCAAAGGCCCTGAAAGAGGTGGATAAGCGCTTCTTTGAGACCCTTGAGACCTTAGAGGTTCACTACGCCTGTGCGAGCTACCATTTCCTTCTTTCATGCTCCTCACCCTAGCCTCTGGACCGCAGCATTTATCCTTTTTTTTTTGTTTTTTGTTTTTTTTTTTCATTCTCATAAGATTTTAGATGTGGTCATGTCCACCCAGTTATATCAGCAGGGCTCAAAAATAAGACAGCCTGATGACCTGAGGACTGTATCAGAGTGTTTCTGGACAGCGTCATTTGTCCTGTTGTACCAGTGCTGCAGTGCCACTGTCCCATACATCATTCATTGATAATATTCATGTTTTGCAAACTTAAAGGGGCAGTTCACCCAAAAATGAAAATTCTGTCATGAATTACTCGCCCTCATGTCGTTCCAAACCCGTAAGACCCTCTTTTATCTTCGGAAGACAAATGAAGATGTTTTTGATTAAATCCGAGCGCTTACTAACCCTGCATAGACCGCAATGCAACTGACACGTTCAAGGCCCAGAAAGGTAGTAAGGACATCATTGAAATAGTCCATGTGACATCAGGGGTTCAACCGTAATGTTATGCAGCTACGGGAATACTTCTTGTGCGCAAAGAAAACAAAAATAGTGACTTTATTCAACAATTTTTTGTGTGTCAGTTTGTTCCATGTGAAGTGTGTTCACGAGAGTACCATGTATAGGATGTTGCTGACCCAGGAGCCGTGAACATGCATCGAAGACTGACACTGATTGAACAGTGGAACCACTGATGTCACTTGGATTATTTTAACTATGTCCTTTCTGGGCCTTAAACGTGTCAGTTGCGTTGCTGTCTATGCAGGGTCAGAAAGCTCTTGGATTTCAACAAAAATACCTTAATTTGTGTTCCGAAAATGAACGAAGGTCTTACAGGTTTGGAACGACATGAGGGTGAGTAATTAGTATGTGTAAAGACACAATTTTTATTTTTGGGTGAACTATCCCTTTAAACCTATGGCATGTTATCAAGCAGGTAATATGCATAAGGTCTTGTTAAGGTTTAGTCTTGGATTATTATGTTTATTTATTTTTGGATTTAAAAATTATAAATCGCTTTTTTTTTTTTAGCAAAAGTGGTATAATTTTATAGCTGTAATGAGTAAAAAACATTCTTTAAGCTGTTGTTGCGGTTTAAAAATTAAGTACATTTTTTAAAATTAACTTCATATTTTTTATATATATTTTTTTTTCTTTAAAGGATGTGCGGCCAACCATCCGCTCTCAGTTTGCATGCACATACAAGGATGATGAGCTGCCCCTCAACCGGGTGTTGGAGTTTCCCAGCACCAGCCAACTTCCCACCTGTATGCACCCTGCACCCAAAAAACCCGTCCCTTTACCAGTGACTGTGGAGGAAGAGCATGACCCAACTGGGATGGACATCAGTCTCAAAGGTAGTGCCTCTGTCACATTTAAAGACGCTATGCAAAATTAGTTTTGTCACTCTTAGTCCTTGGGTATTAGTTTTGAGACCATGTAAATGCTGTTGTGTCCTTTTAAAATTTAAATTAATGAAACATTAGCTTCTATAATGCTTTTAAAATGTGTAGGCTTTCTCTTCTGAGAAACCAGAGCCAAATTTATGATGATGCCACAGGTTCATGTCCTATCACGTGTTCTCTAGAAATGTCTGAGAATGTCCCACCCACTGCGACCGATCGATAAGGAATCTGCATTCATTAAGTCATTTCATGGGGTTTTAAGTATTTTTTGGCTGCTTCCTTTTTTTTTTTTTTTTTTTTAAAGGGGGGTTAGGTCTTTGGGTCCCTTTTTCTGACGCCACACGGTCGGAAAGATGCCCAGGTCCACCTCCACAGCCCAGGCCTTGATCCCTGCCCAGTCCCTGCTTTGGGACTGGTACTTAAGATCAACCTTTAAACGATTCCCCATCCCATAAAACCTGGCTGCCCCCACATCTGTTGTAAAAACTCTTAAGAGCACACGTTCCTCTCCACCCCCTCCCCCCCGCTCACTTTTTGTGGGAATGCGGGCTTTGCTCCATCGGATTACATGACAAATGTTCAGTTTCAGCGCTGTAAAATAAACACACCGCCTGTTAAAGTGCAGACTAACGTCAGCAATTTCATCATACCCTTTTCTACCCTTATGTCCTCAGCCCTCCCTCCTTTTTTATTCCTGTTCATTGTTTCACCTTGTTCTCAAAGTCTAATGTTTTTCTTTTGTCCCCCCTTTCTTGTTTTTCTGTGGATATGGACCCAGAGGCCACTAACTTAAGGCGTGAAGGTCCCGGCCAATCCGCTCTGGGGGAACATAGTGGAAATGCTTGGAACCGAGCAGGTGGGAAGGGGACCCAGCCAGAACAGCTCAGAAGAGCAACCGGGACCTCAAAGAGAAAGCTTGCCAATAGAGAATGCGCTGAGCAAGGAAGAGAAGAGAACCAGCCCCCTCAGAAAAGACCCCCTGCCAAGGCTCCTGCCGGAGGCCTGGGGAAAAGGAATGTTAAAGCTGCCGGCAAGAAGCTCATCGCTGGTCAGGGCAAGCTCACTGGCTTTTTCAGACTGTAATTTACTCACCAATGATGCTAAATTGGTAATTTACTCCCCCTCATGTTGTTCTAAGCCTTTTGTTTTTGGGTAAAATAGCCATATAAATGCTTTTAATACAAGTCGTGTCACTCTTCTCCAGATTATTACTGACGGGATGTGTGCGTGTATATATTTGTGTGTGTGTGCATGTTTGCGATGTAAAGGGGAAGATTATGAGTTGGCAGAGAAAGAACTCTATCATTTCATTTTAGGATTGTGTGACAGTCATGATGAATACTTTCTGTTCCCCTTGAACACGACTCGTACTTTGCAGATTTTAATAAATTTTTATTTCAGTTCTTTTTAAATCATACAAGTGTGTTTGTCATCTTTTTATATTTGGAGTATCTTGCAGGATCAGGGGAGAGCTGGGAAAATCATGCAGGTGCTTTGTCAGCTGCTCCGTTTTCAAGCTTGCCAACAGGGCCTGTATACTCTCCCTATCATGCACCTTAGCACTGTGAAGAGAACAGGAAGAGCAAAGCAAATTAGCAAGCAAGCATTAAATGTAACTGGGCTAACTGTTGTTTACTCACTGGTGTATTCCCTGCTGAAACAAAGATTAAAACAACCTAAGCTGGTTTGCTGGTCTGATTTTCCAGTTGTAGAGGGGTTTTGAACACTTTTCAATTGGGAGACCAGCTTGAACCAGGTAAGACCAGTATCTCGGACCATAGGCATGGAGATGGCCTGGCCAGTCCATCCCGAGTAAATTGTTTAAAACTATACATATATATGTGTAATGATTCAAAATGTAAAGTAGTCCTCAAGCATATCAGGTTACTTTCATGGCCATGTAAGAATATCTACAAAGAAGATGGGGAGGAGGACGATAAGAAACTTGGCAGTGCTTACTGTCTATGTCCCTTCTGCCCACGGGAATGACATCATCTATGCTTCGTCGCTCATCCCTCATGTTGAATCCATCCAGAGCATGATCCGTCCCACGCGGCGGCAGCACAGTGAAGGTTCTCGAAAAGGCAAGGTTTGCTTCCCTCCCAAGAGACCCTTTTATTCCTGTGTCCTGGTGGAAAAGGGAAAGGCATTTTTAGTCCGCACATCAGAACACGGAACAGCCACTTGAACAGAAGCAGCCCAAGCTAAACCCAAAACACTGCTCCCTCTACAGGCATTTTTCCTGCTGTATGAAAGTCTGAAACCACACCTGGAGATGTTTAAGTTAATTCGAACAACACACGCCCAAGGGCAGCCTCAAGATCCCTCTCCATAACTGCTCCCAAACTACTGGAGCAAAGCCGGCACATGGAGCCCCACATGGAAGAAATGTGTCAAATTGAGATAAAGTTTCCCATGCCTCTCTTAGCCAATTTTCACAATATCAACGTGGGCCCTTTTATCCATAGATTCCATTTCCCCTCTTGTGACCACGTCCTTCCCATAGTCCTCTCCGACTGTTCCATTACTACACTGATAATTGTACCAATGTGAGGACAATTCAGCTTTGAATTGAGAAAGCTCTGTTTGATACCCATTGAAAGGTCGTCTGATTCATACCACACCAGCAAAATCGGACTGGTATGATTTCCTGATTTAAAGTGCATGTAGATGTTGGCAAATACAATCATGGAATCTTAAAAAATTAAAAATTGCACGAAAAATTAACGTGCAAACACTTACGGCAAGTATGAAGATGCGTTTTGTCCCGTCTTCATCCACCAGTCTGCCCTCTATGATGGGGTGTCTTCTGAAGGTGAGCTGCCCAGGTCCCATTTCGCTTGCATCGTCTTCTCCTGCTATCGACACTAGTCTATCTTGGTCTGTACGTTCTTCGTCCATCTTAACTTTGGGCAAAGCTGTAGTCAATTCAACTAAAAGTGCAAGTGCAAAGACGACCATGTAGGAAGATGCCATGATCTTGGGTAATTTGGTTGACTTAATTGCAGGAACCTGGCTTTGCACTCGCATGTCCACTAAGAATCAGATGTGTGCTTTTATAGTGTCTCATGATGATGAGTTGTCCTTTTCGAGCTATTTTTGAGTATTGATGATTTCCGTTGCTCTCCTTTGGTGAAAAGTCGTTCACCTTTACAAGAGGTGGATGCCCATCCACAGGGAGGATATTGGGAGATGTTTTAAACCAGGAGGATTATATTTTGAATGGTTTTCCTTTTTCTAAAAGACCCCACTGTGGTTTTGTAAAAGGCCAAATAACATTTGTCAGCATTTCATTGTGAATCTGGAGAAAGGGCATCCCCTTCCAATATAGTGTTTGTACCCCCTGCCATAACTTAGTTTATCGAGCTCATGCAGCAGGTTAAAGGTTTTACATTGAGGTTACATTTTGTCTGAACAGTGGTAATGATAAATTGCAAATGTTTACGATATGAAAGGAATTAGCCTCAAAGAAGGAAATATACCGGTTGTGAGATGTCATCATCCATCAGATGACTCCAATTCCCTTGGCGCCGTCTCCTCATGGTATCGTCCATTATCTTCTTGTTCTTTTTTTGTTTGTAGGTCAGAGCTGGATTATTAGTAATTTCAATAGACCAGGGGTGCCCAATCTTCTTCTTGAAGATTTACCTACCTGCAGAGTTCAGTTCTACCCCGCTCCAACACACCGTTCTGTAATTACCAAGTGCTCCTGAAGGTCACGAAATCTGCGAGGGGAAATGGCAAATATTGAAATTACAGGACTTCGCCTGTTAAATTTTGCAGAGCGGTAAATGTGTCTGGTAATCTTTTTAACTGATTCATTAAAATTAACCAATTCATAAGAGTCATTTGCTTGCAGATAAATAATATGGGCTCACAGGAAATATTGGTGCACACTCTCAAGATGATCTCAAGATGACTCTTAGATGATATCTGACAAACCCGCATTACGCACAGTTTTTTTCTGTTTTAAGTTTTTGTACTAGTCACAGCCCGAGTCCTGTAGGGTACTTCATAAGAAATCAGAAGTGTGTTCGCATTGCTCATGGCAAGAAGAAATGGGACATGAATAATAGTTATTGAACTCAGCTGAAGTGATTTTACTTGGAACACTCAGCCTTTATTTAGTGAGTATTTGTGTTGGAGTGAGAGAGCCTCTACTGAAGGACTCAGCTGGTCCATGGAGACACGACTGTTCCAGCAAGAGCACAACTGAACTTCAGAGTTTGACGCTCTGTTATTGTAACCTCTCTTTCTATGTTGCCACTCTGCTTTCTGACATGTTTCACCCTCCATAGTGACCTCTTCCCACCTTTGATTACCCTCGCCACAATAATCTAATGTTCTGATGTGCCATTTCAAACTAACATTCGTAGATTCCCTTTCAAGCCTCAATTGCCACCATGATGAAACACTTGGAGTGCATTTGTGGTTTACATTTACATTTATATTTACATTTAGTCATTTAGCAGACGCTTTTATCCAAAGCGACTTACAAATGAGGACAATGGAAGCAATCAAAATCAACAAAAGAGCAATGATATGCAAGTGCTATAACAAGTCTCAGGTATCTTAACACAGTACACGTAGCAAGGATTTTTTTTTATTATATAATAAATAAAAATAAAAACAGATAGAATAGAAAAAGAATAGAGCAAGCTAGTGTTAGAGGCCTTTTTTGCTTTTGATAATTGTATAATAAATAAAAAGAAAACAAATAGATAGAATACAAAAAGATTAGAAAAGCTAGTGTTATTTTTTTTTTTATAGAATTAGAATAGAGAGTGCTAGAGTTAAGAGATAAAGATGGATAAATATTAATAAATACTATAATGGTATATAAATAATAATAAAATAACACTGATTTACACTTATTTGCTAAATTGGGAGTGTTACCAAAATTATAAATTAATTAATTTAAAGCAGATGTTTTTAACCTTTACAGAGCTAGGTACTCCTCACTAGAGCTGCACGATTCTGGATAAACTGAGAATCATGATCATCAAATAGAGATCATGATTCTCTCACGATTCTGAACTAAGCAAAATAACATGGAATTTACAAGAGACTGTGACAAAATATTAAAAAAAAAATGTTTGACTGATTGTGATGAAATGATGGGTTTGCTGGAACCACACACGGTTCTGTCTTGGCAAGATTGAGTTGAAGGTGATGGGCCTTCATCCAGCAAGAAATGTCTGTTAGACAAGCTGAAAGGCGAGCAGCTATCGTCGGATCATCAGGATGGAATGAGAGGTAGAGTTGAGGGTCATCAGCATAGCAGTGATATGAAAAGCCATGTTTCTGAATGACAGAACCTAGTGATTCTCCAAGATACCTTGAAGGACCTATCTGAGAGCTAAGGCTCAAACCACTGGTGTGAGGTTCATGAGATGCCCTTTGCCAATAGGGTTGACAGGAGGATCTGGTGGTTCACCGTATCAAAAGCAGCATACAGATCCAGCAAAATAAGTATAGAAGATTTGGAAGCCGCTCTTGCCAGTCTTAGGGCTTCAACAACTGAAAGCAAGGCAGTCTCGGTCCATCAGGAACCATGTTGAGGTTAAGAGTGAGGAGGAAGTGATCCGAGGTGTGGAGTGGAGTAACCAGCACATGAGTGGAGCAGTTTCATGTGTAAATAAGGTCCAGTTGGTTGCCTGATTTGTGAGTAGCCGTAGTTAACACTCTCTTGAGATCAAAAGAGGCAAGCAGAGTGTGGAAGTCTGCAGCCTGAGGTTTATCTAGGTGGACGTTGAAGTCTCCAAGCATAACTAGGGGAGTACCATCCTCAGGAAAGGTTGAGAGCAGCACATCTAATTCATCCAAGAAGTTACCTTCTGGTCCTGGGGGTCGATAAACAACTACAAAATGGATTTTAAAAGGGTGGGTAATAGTGACTGAATGTGATTCAAAGGAGCTGTTAATACCCAGAGAAGGTAAAGGAATAAATGTCCAATCATTAGAGATAAGCAGACCAGTACCTCCACCTCTTCCAGCTAGATGGGGAGTGTTGGAAAATGAGAACTTATTGGAGAGTGCTGCAGGTGTAGCAGTGTCCTCTGGTTTGATCCAGGTCTCTTGTCAGGGCCATGAGGTTTAGTCTTAAATGACTAGCAATAGATGTAATGAAATCTGCTTTGTTTACTGCAGACTGGCAATTCCAATTCCATTGGTCTAAGCTTCATTCTTCTCCAGGTTTTTGAAGCTTCAACCTCAATGTAACTGACATGTTAGCTAGACAGCTAACTAGAGAGATACTGCTTTATTCATGCTCTATTAATGTAAAGTGATTCAGTCACGGTAACAAAAGTGCAAATGTTTATTTATTCTTCAATAAATTAAAGTGTATATTATAGGTGCTGTGACTGGTTCCCTCATCACTAGTTCCTAATTTAAAATAATTTTAGATGGCATTTAGCACATCACACTGCAGGACATGTCAGCTTTCCAAAAGTATCTCGCGTCCTCTATCCAATTTCTAACTACTGCAAAAGCTCTCTGCAGTTTGTAGTATGTGCTTTGGGAGTACAGACTGACTGGGACAGTTGATTTGCTCCTTCACAAGTCTATCCTTTTGCCGCAAAACTGGAGACATGAACATCCTGTAATTTAAGCATTGCACTCTAATGGAAATCCATTTGTGTCCTCTAAATGCTATGCATGGGAATTACCAACGGTGACACAAGATATGTAATGACATCAGAATTTTAGCTATTTTTCCAGTTACAGAGAATCACGCTTTTGGCCCTGGATTCTGCCATGGCCCCATCTCGCCCTGTCTCTCACCTCACGGTCTTTGCCATTGATGGATCAGGTATCCACTCCAGAATTGGCCGCTGAAATACCCAGTAATGGAAAAGAGAGAGTGGTTGGAATGACAGTTTTTTTTTCATGTGGGATATAGTTACGTACAATTATGGCCGCTGACTCAAAGATATTCCACTCATTGCCAGTTTGAATTGAAAATCACATGTGGATGCTTCTCTATCGAGGAAAAGCATTAATTCTTCAACAGAACTAGCTGTGTGATGAGTTTTAAATAATGTAACAAAAAACAGGACTGCGGAAATGAACTGAAAGATTTAAGCTGTGGGACCGATGAGCCAAGCACTTTGTCAGGGAGCATCTCACGGGAACATTTAGTTCCTTTGCTTCTCATATCAGGGGGCACTGCTGTAAAGTGGTCAAATGTGTCTTGTGGTCAACAGGGACGCTTGGCTAGATGACATCACCAGTATCATCACCATATTCCCCACCGATGCCAAAAAGTCCGGGCATGATAATCTGTCCTATTTTGTTACACACATCATCACAAACAATACGTTTCCATTTTCCAAAGATGTTAAAACGCGGCTTTTGATCATCCTTTGGGAAACCAGGAGAATTTTCGGTCACGATTCCAAGATGCTCTCCCCATTGATCAAGTTACCAGATTATTTTCTTTACACGTCTGTTGTTTGATGGTGTAGTAAATGATGGGTTCAGGGCAGAAGGGGCCAATGGGGGCTCAAGCGGGACCATGGTGGACCGAGATGGGGTTGGCTCCTTTGTTGCCCAGAGAGCAAACCATGGTTTCCAGGAACAATGCAGCTAATGAGAAACTCTCCAAGGAAAATATGGGTCTGACATCATGGGTTCTTAAAGCTTGCAGCTGAGCCAACACTCTCTTGCCACAATCAGCTCCCAGTGAATTTCCACTGCTGAGGGAGGGAGTGATCTAGAGGTAGAGGGTGAAAGGGAGCATGCTGGGGCGTGGATGTCGCCTGCTACCTCTTGTACATGTGTAGAGTTGTATATTGACTGTATGTTGTGCTTGGGGTACTGCAGGTCTATAGATATCTATAGATCATATATAAAGAGATTGGTTTTGATATCAGTGTATTTTGTTCTCTTAATTGATAATACTCATACTTCATGTCTTTTTAAAAGCATGAAATGGCTTTCACAATTCATTTAATTTTTGTGATGCAACAAAGTTCAGGGTCAACAGGATATGCAGCATGAAATAATGT